AAGAGGGGCGAAGAGCCCAGGGGCGGGCGCTACACGCATTCGCCGGGGAGCCTCGCCGAAGGCATGGGTCATCGGCGCCCCTGGATGCGTGTGTTGCTTTCCCCTGGGCCATTCGCCCCCGTCGTCGCCACGCGATCTTGCTACGTTAGAGGAGGAGAACACGGCACGAATGCTCCATGTTTGGAGGTCCGAATGGACTTCTCGGATCCGTGCTGGACCCCTCGCCGTGGCGCGCGGAGCGCGCCAGGGGGGCCTGCCGCCGATCCGAGAAAACCGCGCGGAGCTCCAAAAGCTGATGTTTACCCATCGGTCGGAAGAAGAAGTAGGTAGAAGCATGAAGTAGAAAGGCGTTGAAAGTAGATTGGGTTCCATCCGCCCCCTAAGGAGGACGGAAAGGGTGAAGCCACTCGATCATTGAAGTAGGAAGGCGCTTAAAGTATATTGAAATCTGGGGATCCAGAAATACCTACTTTCAACGACCGATGTTTATGCAGATCTTTCATCCTCGAAAAAATCAGCGCACGAGGACGCCTCGGGGCCAGGAAGTGGATGGCGTATCGCTCCAAGGCGCGGTGGGCCAGAACCAGCGGCGCGACACGCTATCCAAAAATTCTCGACCGTGAACCCGATCAAGACCCCATGCGTCAGGATTCTCGACAAGCGCGTTCCACTACTCGCAAAGTAGCTACTCGCAAATGGTCTGGCTCCGCCATGGGGGGTCCACGATCCATTGCATCCGATGCCGACACGTGCTCTTCGGACGTCTGCGAGTCGCCACCCTGCTGCGAGCAGTGGCACGCGCTCGGTGAGATTTTTGCTGGCGGCATCAAATCAAGGGGCCCAAGGACACACAAATACATACACACAAACAACCATATTCCCCGTACCTTCCCATGCTTTCTGGGTGTTTGTCTTCCCCCCCACTTCCCACATCTTCCCATATCTTCTGGGAAATCGACGATTAATTGTGTCTGTGTGTTTCCTTCCCTCCCGATCAAGAGGAGCCCCTGGCTGACGCGCGCTCCCGACGCCCGCTCCTCCGGCTCGCCCACCGCCCCGCCGGCGGCGAAGGCGGCGAGGTGCTCTGCGGCCGTGGGCAGGCACATCTCCACCACCTGAGGGGTCGGCCGACGCCCGCCGCGAGGCCTCCAACGGGGCCCCACCGGCCTACCCAGAAAACGACGCCAGGGCGAGCAGAAAGAACGCCCAGGCGAGTAGAAACGACGCCCAGTCCTCGTGGATTTTTTTTGTTTTTTGTTTTTCTCGGGTGCTGCAGGTCTCGTTGCGAAGGAGGGAAGCGAGACACGGTCTGAGATACGGCGCAGGGAAGTTCTGCAGTGCGCTGCCCGAAAGCGGCGGCCTTCCGGAAACAAGACAGGAGTCGGAGAGCGATGGGGGTCAGGGGGAAAAAATTCGAGACGCCGTTCAAAATCGAAGCGCCCGATGGTTCGGGCGAGTGTCAGAAAACGCGTTCTCCAATGCCTCTGCGGCCGCGGGAAGGCACGTCTCCACCACCTGAGGGATCGGCCGACATCTGCTGCGAGGCCTCCTACAGGCCTCGTCAACAACAAATCGAGACGCCGTTCAAAGTCGAAGCGCCCGATGGTTCGGGCACGTGTCAGAAAACGCGTTAGTCAATGCCGCGAGGGCACTGCCAGATTTCGGGCACCCCTGCGTGTGGGCCAAACACTCCATGCCAGCATTGACGTAGCGCCGACCGCACAAACGCCGAAAGCAAACACCGTCAACTTGTTTTTGACGAGTCTTGTGGGGTTCGAGTAGATGGGGTCGGAGAATCGCGCCATATCGCCGATGCCTCGGCGATGCATCGGCGACGTCAGCGCACATCGGCGACGTCGGCGACGCATCGGCGACGTCGGCGTGGAGAAGCTCGGGCTCCACATCGAACCGCATCGGCGATGCATCTGCGGTGCGGCGCGATCCTCCAACGGCATCTGCTCTGACCCCAAGTGGGAGGGCTAGACTTATGTCGGGCGTGTCCCCCTACAGGGGGATTCTCGACGAAAAATTAAAAATACCCCAAACATACCCCAAGAGGGTAAAAAAATACAAAAAACAAATCCCCAAACATTTTTTGTATTATTTTTAGACTATTTTGGGGGTATTTCTTATTTTTCGTCGAAAATCCCCCTGTAGGGGGACAGGCCCGACTTAAGCCTAGACTGCTCCAGCCTTCCCCAGGGCCCCGCGACGAAGAGCTGGGAATCGAGAAAAACGGCCCGGGGACGAACTCCCCGTCGCCCGGACGTCCATTCCCTGTGCTTTGTTCGGTGTCGCGCGTGGCTTTTTTTCGCAGGGTGATCCAGGATGCTCCTTGATAATCCTCGCCGAGAAAAAGTGCACGCGTCCGAGCGATACCGAGCGAAGGGGAGCAGCAGGCAGCGAGCGACCCATCTTCCCCAGCTGCAGCGGCCAAGGGAGCGCGGCCACTCGCAGGCCGTGCCCTCGCACGTCCGCAGCGAACCCACTCGCCGCGTGGAGCGCACCGTGGCCTCCGTCCGTTCGCGAGTGGCCAGCCTTCGGATGGCGGCACGCGCGCTCGCCGACCTGCGCACCCTTCTGCGCTGGAGCACGACTGTTCCGCGCGCCAAACTCGGGGGCCCAGGGCCTGGCGGGCACGCGCTGGCACGGATGAGGGGCCCGCGAATCTGGCACGTGGGCCCCGGGTCCGCGGATCGGGGAATGCCCCCCCCGAGCCATGGGGCCGGTGTGTCGCCGACCTGGCCACGGAGCGCACCGGCGCTGTCTCTGTCTACAAGCACACCAGCGCTGCCCGACCACGTGCACGAGGCCAAACCTGGAATCACCGGAGGGCCTCCCTGCGATAGGCGAGCCAACACGCGAGACCTTGGCCAGTGCAGATAAACCAAAACGGGCGCCACGGTGCCGATGCTGCGCGCCGACGTCGCACGGAAGCGGGGCCCGTCGCCAACCTGCGCGCCTTGTAAATCCGTGCTCGCGTGCCCTCGACCTGGGGGCGGAACTCTTCCACGCCTGAGCGCTTTCCCCTCCCTCTCCCCCCGCGCGGCCGCTCTCGTCTTTCCCCCCCCCCTGACTCCAGATCCGCCCAACTTTGGCTTTTTTTCCAACTTGAAATCGCGTCGGAAATCCACCTATACGAAGCCAGAAGAAATAGGGCGGAAATTTCCGCCCTCAAGAAGCAAGGCTGACATGTTCGCCTTACTTTTTGGCGTTCTATCCGTTGTTGAAATCGCGCGTGGCAGAGCGCGTATGTGTTTGGATCCGAACCGGGGGGCCCCTCGTGCACGCCGGCCAATTCGCATCTCGGTTGCCCCGACACGCCACACGCTGGAGCGGATCGCCTCTGCCGCGCCGCCGACGGACAAAAAGCCCTCGACCCCCGCGGGCATCGGCGCCCTGCCGGGCCGTGCCCCCCGGGGAGCAGCTGGACCCAGGCCCAGGCCCACGGAGGCCCCGGGGGGTGGCGGCGGGCGCTCCACCAAGCACGTTGTGACCGTTAAAAGTTGCACCCTGGCAACTACGCAGAGCTGGCTGGGAGAAGGGGGGGGGAGAAGAAAAGAAGGACGGAAGGAAGGAAGGAAGGAAGGAAGGAAGGAGGGAAGGAAGGAAGGAGGGAAAGAAGGAAGGAGGGAAGGAAGGAAGGAAGGAAGGAAGGAAGGAGGAGGGAAGGAAGGAAGAAAGAAGGGAGGGAGGGAAGGAAGGAAGGAAGGAAGGAGGGAAGGAGGGCAGAGAGGGGGTGGAGCACTGCTCCTCCCCCTCCCTCTGCCCCGGCCGAGGCGGAGAGGCGCGCCCCGTCGTGGCGGAACGGAGCCTGCAGAGGCGAGGCCGACCCCTCCGGCCCGAAGCCTCGGGAGCCTCCGGGGAGCTCGCCCGGCCTCGGGCCCCGCAGGACCCCGAGAACAGCGGGCGCCTCTTCGCCTCTCTTCGGGCCCCGGGGGCTCTCACGGATCGATGCGGCTCGAGACATGGCGCATGGGGTCCGGAGGTCCGGGCGTGATTTGCTGCAATGTTGCAATGCTCACGGTAGAGGGAAACAATCAGTGACCCCCCCCCCCGCCCCCCAAACTCAAGGTTGGCACGCGCGGGGGAGGCTGCGGTCGAGGTGCAACTCATCAGACCCACCGCCAATTTTGAAGATTGGGGGGGAGGGGGAGGCGTTCACAGATGAATGTAGCGTGAGTGTTCGCTATTTTTTCCGAGGCCTGTATCCTTGCAGCGTCGGATCTCAGGTCAGGTCGGGCATGTCCTCCCACAGGGGGATTCGGGACGAAAACTAAGACATGGTCAAAGCGTATTCGAAAATGCCCATACATAGTAAAACAAATGTCCCTGGACTCTTTGTGATCAGTTTTGAGAGGGACGGGCCCAGCTTCACTCTCAGGGGAACACTCAGAAAACCAAAGCAATCGACACAGCGGGGCACTTGCAACGCGGCCGCGGCTCGCACGCCAAGAGATCCCGCACGTGGCCCCCGAGAACGGCCAGCAGCCGGCGCCCTGGAAAACCTCTGCAATATCGAAGGGGCCCTGGGACATGCAAATAAACAGACACAGATCCCAGGATTCCCCATCCTTGAGGGCGCGCCGCTGGATGGCCCCAAAGGGGGGGGGGTGGGACCCCCCCCCTTTCCCCGATCCGTCGTCGGGAACCCCCCCTCCCCCCCTTTCCCAGTCCGTCGTCGGGGACCCCCCCACCGTTTCAAAAGGGATGGGAGGGGGTTCCGAACCCCCCCTCCCCCCCTTTGGCCGCCGAATTCGAACCCTCCCCTTTCCCCCTTTCGCCACGGCGCCCCCTGGCTCGGGGACCCGACCCCTACCACTGCTCACTACTCACGACTCACTACTCACTACCCACAACTCACTACCCACTACCCACTACTGACTACTCACTACTCACTACTCCCAACTCACTACTCAATATTCACTACCCACTACTCAATACTCATTACTCATTAAACACACTACTCACTACCCACTACTCACTACTCATTAATCACTCCTCACTACCCACTATCCACTACTCACTACTGAAGACTCACAATTCACTACTCACTACTCACTGCCCACAACTCACTACTTACTATCCGCTGCTCGCTATTCGCTACTCCCTACTCCCTACACAATACTCACACCTCACTACTAACTACTCGCTACTCCCTACTCGCTACCCGATACGCAATATTCCCTACCCACTACGCACTACTCATTACTCAATACCCACTACTCCGTACTCCCTACTCACTAGTCACACGTCACTACTAACTACCCACTACTCAGTACTCAGTACTCACTACTCAGGACTCACTACTCACTACTCACTACTCGCTACTCCCTACGCACTACCCACTACTCACTACACACTTCTCGCATCTCACTACTCAATAATCACTACTCCCTACTCTCTACTCACTACCCACTACTCACTACTCGCTACTTCCTACCCGCTACTCACTACTCCCTACTCGCTACAGACTACTGAATACTCCCTCCTCACTACTCACTACTTACAATGCTCTACTCGCTACTCACGATTCACCATTCGCTACTCCCTACTCGCTACTCACTACCCACTACCCACGACCCACTACCCACTACTCACTACTCACTACTCACTACTCACTACTTGCTACTCCCTACTCGCTACTCACTACTCCCTACTCGCTACTCACTACTGACTACTCCCTCCTCATTACTCACTACTCACAATGCCCTACTCGCTACTCACAATATTCACTACTCGCTACTCCCTAGTCGCTACTCACTACTCACTCCCCACTCCCCACTACCCACTGCTCACTACTCACTACTCTCTGCTCACTGCGCACTACTCCCTACTCACTACTCACTACTCACTACTGACTCCCCACTACTCGCTACTATCTACTCACTACGCACTACGCACTACTCACTAGTCTCTACTCACTCACTATCTCGAGGCCAGACCGCCCGCCCCTTGCGGGAGAAGCCCCCTCCCCGGCCCACTGTTCGGCGCAAAAGGGGGGAGCGGTTGGGGGGGGGGGGCGGTTCGAACCCCCCCTCCCCCCTCCAGCGCCAAAGGGAGGAGGGCGGGGGGGGGGGGGGTCCGGACGCCCCCCCCCTCCCCTTCAAGGGGGAGGTGGTTCGGGTTCGGACCCCCCCCCCTTTTAAGGGGGAAGGGAGGGGGGTCGAATATCTCACCCTCCCTTTGAAGGGGGGGGGGTTCTGCGAGCACCCCCCCTTTTCAATTACAGGGTCATCCACTGGCGCACTTTCTTCATCTTTTCCTATATCTTCTGGGTTGTCGTCTTCCCCCCCACTTCCCCTATTTTTCTATTTTTCTATATCTTCCTGGGAGTCGACGATTAGCCGTCTGTGTGTCTTGGCCCCCTCCCGAAATATTCCGGATCCACGCCGCAAAAAAAAACCGTGCAGACGGTCGCCCACGAGGCCTCCAGAGGCCTCCAGAGGCTCCAGAGCCCTGGGAGGGGGGGCCTGCCCGTCGCCCGGACTCGCCGAGAACGCGTGGGGCTCCGCAGCACTTGGCGCCACCTCTCTCGTGCAGACCTCGCGCCGCGGGGACCTCGGCTGCTCGCTCTGGGGGACCTGCCTCGAGCCACTCGCTCCACGCACGCGCCGACGCTGCGTCGAACGCCCGCCGACTTGAGCCGAGCCGGAGGCGAGCTGGAGTCTCGAGCTGGAGTCGAGCGGGAGCCGAGCTGGGATCGAAGCAGAGTCGACCAGACCCTCTGGGCGGGCCCCGGGAGAAGAAGCGCCCCCCGAGGAGCATATCTTCTGCTGGACCCGCCTCGCTGCAGGCCCCCCCCCCACCCCCGGCCCGCGGCGCGCCCGGTGGAGCCCCAGAAACTCGGGAAGGCCGGCCGCCCCGACAGGCCTCGGAAAAAATAGCGAACACTCATGCCACATTCATCTGTGAACGCCTCCCCCTCCCCCCAATGTGCAAAGTTGGCGGCGGGTCTGATGAGTTGCACCTCGACCGCAGTCTCCCCCGCGCGTGCCAACCTTGAGCTTGGGGGGCAGGGGGGGGTTCACTCATTGTTTCCCTCTACCGGATCTCTTCGGGCGCCCAGAGGCCCGGCCTCGTGCTCGAGGGGCGCCGCCAGGCACGGAAAAATCGGGCGCGGCCGAACCGACCCCTGGCAAACCGTCCCCTTCCCGAGACGTCACCCTCGCCTTTCGAGCTCCCCTCCCGCCGCATAACATACGTCGTGGGGCGAGGCGAGGGGAACGTCATGGAAGGGGACGGTTTGCTAGGGGTCGGTTAGGCCGCCCCTGAGAAGAAGAGGCCTGATGCCCGGCAACCAAGGTCGTCCAAAACCGGCGGCGGCATCTGTTGGGCAAGCCGCCTTCTGTCTTGAATGGCCAGCATCAGCGGCGACATCGACAACGAAGCAGGCTCAAAATGAACATGGGACTGCCGTCGATCTTCGCATCCTTTTTGTCTGTACTCACGTCGATCGTATCGAGCGAAGACATTCAGGAACTTCCAACAAACAGCACAGAGCATCAACAGAAGAAATACCCAGAAACTCCAGAGACTTCAAAAAACGACGGGCCTGAAAACCGACGGGGGGACAAAACGACTGTCTGCTTTGGAGCTCCCCGCCGCCGGCTGCCCGGCACGCTTGCCAGAGAGCCGGCACAGGCTGTCAAGGAACTGCCAGGCGACCCTCTCGAGGTCGGCTCGAACACCCTTGCGCACCTGGGCAGAGGGGGGAAGAAACCCTCCTCTGCCTCCTCCTCCTCCTCTTCCTCCTCCTCCTCCTCCTCCTCCTCCTCCTCCTCCTCCTCCTCTTCCTCCTCGGAAGAGGAGCCAGCGTGCCGAGGGCGAGGAGGAGGGGGAAGGGAGGGCGAGAGGACGGACTGCTGCTGCTGCTGCTGCTGCTGCTGCTGCTGCTGCTGCTTTTCCTGCTTCTGTTCCTGCTCCTGTTCTCGCCATCGCTCGGACGTCCATTCCCCGTGCGTTTTTCGGTTTCGTGCGTGTTTTTCTTGGCAAGATGATCCAAGCTGCTCTTCGATGGTCCTCGCCGAGACGAAAATGCACACGTCCGAGCGATGCCAAGTGTTCTTGTTTGTCCACTTCCGTTCCCTCACCCTTCTCTTGTTCCTATCTTGTGGAAACGGGTCGGGGGAGCACGCATTTTGCAACAGGGAGCGTCACCACCGACTTTGTCTCCCCCGCCGAGCCTTGACACCACCCGCGCCCAGGAACCGCCCCGCCACATGCTGGGCGGCAGCCACGCACAAACTGTTGTGCGCCGCTTGGAACTCCTCGTCCACCTGATGGCTCGATACCAGTAACCCAGTCGTGGGTGCTTTGACCAGCAGTTGGACAGCAAAGCGTATATGGTTTCAAAGGGGTGGGACGTTGCCCTTCCGAAAGGCAGGATGGGGCATGTCTGCACATGGTCCCCCCCTCACGTGCAACCGACGCGATGGGGTCCGTTGTGACAGCCGCCACAAAGACAAAGCTGATACGCCGTCGAAGCGGACATAAAATAGCGACAGTCGGGCTGCTGAAATAAGGGAGAATAAATGAGAAACGGTACCCTTCTTGGCACCATAACAGCCAGTGTGCACGAGGAGGACTAGAAGAATAACCACGGAATGACCTAAGGAAAGCGAAGCCCCTTCCGAACCCAAAGCGGTCCTAATTTCAACATCTTGACTGTGCAACTCTATGTGGCGCAATCATATCGGCGGGTCGCGGACAATTCGGTTTAGAAGCATGCCCCACCCTTGTACCTTGAAAGTTGCGACGGCTGGTGGGCGACGCCCAGACAGACGGGGTGACAGAAAACAAAACAAGGTGCAAATTCACCAAGTGTGCGACAACGGTCGGCGTAGTCGAGGCAATTACACAATCTGCCTACAAGACAAATCTAATATCGGCCCTGAGTGCGTCAGGACACTGGGAGTATTCAGACAGACGGACTTAGTAACAAACAGACATGTGCAAAACAGGTGGTCCAAGAGGCTCTGAGGAGACGCCCAAGGGGGCACTAAGACGGCCCCAAGACAATATAAACACCTTCCGAAACAGTCTCAGGAGGCCTCCGAGAAGGCCCCGAATATCTAAAGAAGGCCAGAAAACCCAAGACTGCCAAATAGGACCCCAAGAGAACCCCCAGAGGCCCCCAAAGCGCCCCGAAAGCCATCCAAGACAGCCTCAGACGATCCAAACGCGCCCAATGATAGCCCGAAGAGAGAGGAGGCGAAGGAGAAGGAGAAGCAGGAAGGGAAACGAGGAAGAAAAGACGAAGAAATCAGGAAGAGAGATAAGGAGGAGGCAGAGGCGGACAAGAAGCAAGAAGATGAAGAAAGAAGGGAAGGAATAGACACACGAGCAGGTACAGGAGAAAGAAGAGGAGGAAGAAGAATGAGGGGAAGTGCTTGGGGAAGAGAGAAGGGCAACCCAGGGCGGAGAAGAAGGAGAAGAAACGGACCGATCGCCCGTCCGAACGTGCAACCGGCGAAACGAGAAGAGTCCGAGCTTCGCAGCGCGATTCCTCCCTGCAATATTGCACAATCTGGATTCGGCCGTTCGTTGCCATGTCGCCACCAAAAAACATGATCGACCCAGGACCCTGGAACGGAATATAGAAATGTAAGGCATGGCACAGTTTTGGCACCTGATTGGGCGACGGCAATTGCAATGCTGAATGTATCGATCTTGATGTACCGTGCCAAGGGCTGTGCTGTGCCACGTCGTGCTGAATTGCGATGTGCAATGCCGCGATTGTGCTCTATTGCGTTGTGGATCGAGTCCCCCTTTGCATCTGAGTCCTGACCGAACTGATCTGGATCTCAAGCTCGAGCTGCCTGAGCACATAGTACAGGCCCCAGAGCTAATTGACAGGGGGACACGCCAGGGGGACGCGCCGCGGAACGTCCCAAGGGACGCGCCAGGGGACGTTCCAGGGGACGTGCCATGGGGATGTACCGCGGGACGTGCCAAGGGGACGCGCTACGAAACGTGCCGATGGACGTGCCACGGGACGCGCCACGGGACTTCCCGCGCGACGTGCCAAGGGGATTCGCCATGGGACGCGCCACGGAACGTGCCAAGGAACGTGCCAATTTGCAAGGCTGAATGTATCGATATTAATGTACCGTGCCAACGGCTGTGCTGTAGTGCGCCGTGCTGAATTGCGATGTGCCATGCTGCCATTGTGTGCTCTATAGCGTTGTTGATCGAGCCCTCCTTTGCATCCGAGTCCTGACCGAACTGACCTGGATCTTAAACTCGAGCTGCCTGAGCACAGAAGAGCTGCCCCAGAGCTAATTGACAAGTGGACAGGTCAGGGGGACGCGCCACGGAACGTCCCAAGGGACGCGCCAGGGGACGTGCCAGGGACGTGCCAAGGGACGCGCCATGGGGACGCACCGCGGGACGTGCCAAAAAGAAACGCTACGGAACGTGCCAATGGACGTGTCACGGGACGTACCAAGGGACGCGCCGCGCGACGTGCCAGGGGGACTCGCCACGGGAAGCGCCACGGAACGTGCCAGGGAACGTGCCAAGCGACGCGCCAAGGAACGTGCCAATGAACGCCGTCCCTGACCCAGGGCCAGGAACCCTCATAAATTACAATGCGCCCGCGCTCCCAGGGCCAAGATCCATCGTAAAGTACGCTGCGTCCGCGCTCCCAGGGCCACGATCCCATATAAATTACGCTGCGTTCGCTCTCCCTGGGCCACGATCCCTGGTAAACTACGCTGCGTCCGCGCTCCCAGGGCCGCGCTCCCTGGTGAATTGCGCTGTGTCCGCGCTCACAGGGCCACGCTCCCCAGCTTATTACATGGTGTCAGCCCCCCAAAGGCCACGATCCCATGTAAAGTAGGCTGCGTACGCGCTCCTAAGGCCGCGCTCCCACGTGAATTACGCTGCGTCCGCGCTCCGAGGGATGTTCCCCAATACAGTATGCTGCGTCAACACCCCAAGGGCCACGGTCCCTTGTAAAATACACTGCGTCCGCGCCCCCAGGGCCACGATGCATTGTAAATTACGCTGCGTCCGCGCTTCCAGCGCCGCGATCCCTTGTAAATTACGCTGCGTCCGCTCTCCCTGGGCCACGATCCCACGTAAAGTACGCTGCGTCCGCACTCCCGGGACCGCGCTCCCATGTGAATTACACTTTGTCCGCGCTCCCAGGGCCACGTCCCCTCGTGAATTACGCTGTGTCCGCCGCCCCACGGCCAGGATCCCATGTAGATTTCACTGCGTCCGCGCTCCGAGGGCCACAGTCCCATGTAAAGTACACTGCGTCCGCGCTCCCAGGGCCACGATCCCATGTAAAGTACACTGCGTCCGCACTCCCAGGGATCCCATGTAAATTACGCTGCGGCCGCTCTCCCTGGGCCACGATCCCTGGTAAACTAAGCTCTGGGTCCACGCTCCCATGGCCACGATCCCTGATAAATCACGCTGCGTCCGCACTCCCAGGGCCCCGTGGGGCATCCTTGGGCGTCCAGGCTCTTGGAAGTCTCCAAAATAAGCGTTTCGCTCGAGGCATCCTAAACACATTATGCAGAACAAGCGTTTCGCTCGAGACACCCGCAACAATCGAAAATGCTCACCTTACCATGTTTCATCGATCGGAATTTCAAAAACCAACGTTTCGCTCGGGACGTCCTCAACATTTAATTCGCTGGCCCTCTTCGACCTCGTTATTTAGCGCAGATTAAATGTGCCGGCCCTCTTCAAATCGTCCCCGGGGTAAAACCATCTAAAAGAAAACCCTGGGCCCCAGCCCTTTCCGGGAACAAGTGGTGTGCGTTACCACTCGTGGAATCATGTGCTGGCTTGCGCGATCATCCCTCTCTGTTTCGGAACCTCGGGGAGCAAGGTGCGTGGCGCGATGCGCCAATTCACTCGTGCATGTACTACACATACCCACGATCCATAACCCTTCACAGACGCGGATGGGAGCGAGGCGCCTCACCGACTGCACCATGCTTCGCCGCCAAGCAGCCTCGAAAGTTGAGCAGGGACCGACCGTCCCGGCATTCCTATAGGCATACCAGGACAAGCTTTTAAAGTAAGAGAATGTTTCAATAACAAGAACACGGTTCTTCGAACATACAGCCAAACAGTCTCGGCCAGAATGTTCTAAGAACATTTTTCGCGCACACCACGAAAGGCTCTTAGAACACTCGTTGGTGGGCAGATCGGCAAACCAGGACGCTTCGCCACTGCCCGGAAAGCCCGCACCGCTGGTGCCGACAAGGCGCCGAGACATGCGGGCCCCGCGCAGCCCGAGGACAACGCCCTCGCCGGGCCGCACGGCGACGGGCCCTGGACCCCTCTGCCCCCCGACGGGGGCAACCCTCCTCGAAATCAAACGCCAGTCCTGATCCAACCTCCCCGCCCCCGAGTTCCAATGTTGAGGGACGCGCTGCACAACATTGAAACTCGGGATCAACCAAAGCATGATCGACCCACGAACCCGGAAAGGAATATAGAAATGTAAGGCACGGCAACGTTTCAAAGACACCTGATTGGACGACGGGCAAATGCAATGCTGAATGTACCGATCTTGATGTACTGTGCCGAGGACTGTGCGATGCTACGCCGTGCTGAACTGCGATGTGCCATGCCGCGATTGTGCTCTATATAGCGTTGTGGATCGAATCCTCTTTGCATCCGAGTCCTGACCGAACTGATCTGGATCTTAAGCTCGAGCTGCCTGAGCAGATGGTAGCTGCCCCAGAACTAATCGACAGAAGGGACATGCCAGGAGGACGCGCCGCGGAACGTCCCGAGGGACGCGCCAAGCGACGTGCCAGGGGACGTGCCATGGGGACGCACCACGGGACGTGCCAAGGGGACGCGCTACGGAACGTGCCAATGGACGTGCCGCGGGACATGCCCGGAGACGCGTCGCGCGACGTGCCAGGTGGACTCGCCACGGAACGCGCCAAGGAACGTGCCAAGGTGCAATGTTGAGTGTATCGATCTTGATGTACCGTGCCGACGGCTGTGCTGTGCTGGGCCGTGCTGAACTGCGATGTGCCATGCCACGATTGTGCTCTGTATATAGCGTTGTTGATCGAGTCCTCTTTGCATCCGAGTCCTGACCGAACTGATCTGGATCTTAAGCTCGAGCTGCCTGAGCAGATGGTAGCTGCCCCAGAACTAATCGACAGAAGGGACATGCCAGGAGGACGCGCCGCGGAACGTCCGCAGGGACGCGCCAGGCGAATTGCCAGGGGACGTGCCATGGGCACGCACCACGGGACGTGCCAAGGGGACGCGCTACGGAACGTGCCAATGGACGTGCACCGCGCGACGTGCCAGGGGGACTCGACACGGGACGCTCCGCGGAACGTGCCAGGCAACATGCCAGGCTGCAATGCTAAGGGTATCGATATTGATGTACCACGCCGAGGGCTGTGCTGTGCCTGTGCGACCTGGACACGTGAAAACACGCGTTTCGCTCAAGACGTTCTCAGCACATCCTCATGCTAGACATCCGCCTGGACAACCTGGACACGTGCAAACAAGCGTCTCGATCGAGACTTCCTCGACACATCCTCATGCTAGACATCCGCCTGGGCGACCTGGACACGTGAAAACAAGCGTCTGGTTCGAGACATCCTCAACAAATCCTTATGCTAGACATCTGTCTGGGCAACCTGGAGGCGTGAAACCAAGCGTCTCGCTCGAGACATCCTTAAGACCTGGGCACGTGAAAACAAGCATTTCACTCGAGAGATCCTCTGAATTCAGGTCCCCAGGAGAGGACAATCTATAACACAAAACAAGCGTTTCGCTCGAGACATTCTCAACCAATTCTGAAAATCAAGCGTTTCGCTCGGGACATCCTCAACTTTTAATTCGCCGGCCCACCTCGGCCTCGATATCTATCGCAAAAGAAATTCGCCAGCCCACCTCAAGTCAAACCCAGAGCCCACCAAAAGAGAACCCTGGGCCTCAGCTCTTTCCGGGAAAATTGCAGTCGCTAGTGCCGGCGTAAAACTTTGAAAGTGGGGGTCGGGGGGCGTCGCCACGTCGAGGGAAAAGCTTGCGTCTGACTTCGAGGAGGGATGTACTCCCCAAACCTCTCCCTGGGTGCGTTCTGACCAAAATTTCGAAGCGAATCCAGCCGTAGCGACGAGGGCCGAAAACGAAAACGGATCGCTGACCGCTTCCTCCTCTGACTGACACGGCAGGCCCCCGAGTGCTGCACGCCGAGCGCGCAGTAGAAAAGCTCGGGCCGCTGCCAGCGCTGAGCTTTTTGCTCGGCAGCGCGCCGGGCTGGCACCGCTGTCGAGCCCCACGACGAAGGGCTCCAGGCCCCCTGGCCACCCCTGGGCCCCCGATGTGCCGCGCGGCGCCCTCCAGCCAAGCCCCGCCCAGCCACCCCCCTCCCGCCATCAGAGACCTCCCAGATGGGGCCCGAATAGACGGGGTCGGCGAATCGCGCCGCATCCGCGATACATCGGCGATGCGTCGACGATGCGTCGGCGATGCGTCAGCGACGTCGGCGGTGCATCGGCGACGTCGACGCGAAGCACAGCGGGGCCCACATCGAGCCGCGTCGCCGACGCATCGGCGATGAAGCGCGATCCTCCGACCCCGTCTGCTCGGACCCAATCTGGGAGGCCCAGAGCCTGTTTCTCGGCGATGGCCCGGGTTGTCGGGTTGGGGAGGGAGGGCGGTGCTGGCCGATGTAACCTCACCTTTGCCGCTCTGGGCATCCCCTGAGCCGATCTGGGGCCGCGAGTTGCTGAATATCCGAGAGTCGTCTAGGGTCTGAGGTATCGTAAGTGTCATCCGATATCATGGGCCTGCTACTGCAAGCAGCCCAATCCTAGGAAGGCCCCTTTAAGACGACCATTCTATCGGGGGTTCAGACGAGGAGCTCAGGCTCCCTCCGAGGGGTCATTGGTTCTCGACCCCGAGCCTCGTCGTCATCGTCGTCCGCGCGCTCCGCGCCAACTCTGCTGCGGAGCTCCTTTCGGTCCTTCAGTGCCGACCCAGCGGCAGTCATGATCAGCGAAGAGGTGGCAAGCGTGACCTCGCTGTCGGCCAGCACGTCGCCCTTCGCCACCGGCGGTGAGAAGCCAGGGACCTAAGCCACCGGCGGTGTCGATTGATCTCTGGCCTGCTACCGGGCCTTCGGAGCGCAGATAGAGGCATCAATGCCGCCAAGATTGACGCTCTCGTCGGGACCCAGCCGCTGGCGCAAACATCTGTTCTCTCTGGGGTGCCGAAGACAGGCAGGAGGATCACATGGGGGTATGACGAAAATTTCGCGTGCATGCAGGGACCTGCAGCGTGAGGCACACCGCGCGGAAGAAGGTGAGCGGGTGGTTCACGGCCAGCGACCGCAGCAGCAGCGCCAGGAGCTCACGGGCGTGAGGCCTGCAGGCAGCGAGGGCGCCGCCCTCCGCGGCGCCAAGGAGCACCTCCATCGTGCACGCGCACCACGCCACGTAGCTGAGGGCCGCGGCGGCGGAGGCGGACTCCGCCTCTGCGTCCTCTCGGAACGCTGTCACTCTCATGGCTGAGACGTCGACGGGCGCCTCGGCGTCCATGCTGTCGGGCAGCCCGTGCCGCGACACGAAGCGGACGAGCACGGAGAGGCCCACCTCCAGGGTCCAGGGCGCCTGCTCCGCGCCCGCCGCCCGCAGCAGCTCGGCGGGCAAGAGGCCCTGGCCCCAGGCCAGCGCCCCCTTGGGCCCGGCCTGGCCTGCAGCCTCCGCGACCAGCGCGCACAGCGTCTGCGCCAGGGTGCCCACGCACTGGTACCTGGCCCTTGCGCCGACGGACATGAGCATCTCCAGGGCCTCGTCCGCCGCGGCGTCGGCGCCCCCCAGCTGGACCTCGCCCCCTAAGATCGCCTCCTCGACCGCCAGCTCCTCCGCTGCGGCTGCGCGACGCTTCCGCGAGCCGGCCCTCTTCTTCGCGGTGCCCGCTGTGTGCGCGGGGGCGTGGGCCCGCCGCGCGATCAGCAGGAGCAGCGCGCAGTCCAAGGACGCCCCGAGGCCCGCTGCCTGCGAAAGAGACAGCAGCAGCGGCCTGTCGGTCTCCGCGGTGAGGCCGGGCCGGCCCGAGAAGGCTGCGCACAGCAGCAGCCTGAGGCCGCTCTGCGCGGGGCCGTCCAGCGTGCCGGCACCGTCTGTCTCGGGCACCCAGAGCCGCCGGAGGCTGGCCCTCAGCACTGCGAGGGAGTCCGCACCTAGTGGCCCCGCAAAGGCCGCCAGTGCCGTGGCGCAGGCGCGCAGCGGCGCCGAGGGCTCTTGTGCACCAGGCGCCAGTGGCGCCAGCAGCGACAGTGCGCCGCAGGTGCGGATGATCGTGGAGAGCATCCGAGGAGTAAGGGCAGCCCCCAGGGTCTTGCAAACGTCCGAGACTGCGCCGCACGCCACCTCCACGACCGCTGCGCCGTCGATGGCAAGGCTGCCCTCCTTGCCGCAGAGGTTCTCGCTGAGGGCCGCCAGGGCAGACAACATGCTGGACAGCGTGTCCCCTCCCTCGTCGGCCACAGCCCTTGCGGTGAGCTTCGCCTGGAGGCCTGCGGCCTCACGCGTCAGGCGCGCGAGATCTTCCAGCAGCTCCCGCGCGTCGGGGCCAGGGCTGCCGAGGGTGACGACCTGCCTCGACAGCAGCTCGGCCGCCGCGCGGCCCCGGCGCCCCACCAGCTGCTTGCCCTTGAACGCTGCCGAGCCCGCGCAGATCTGGTGCAGAAATCCGGCACCGATGTCGGCCTCTGCGAGCGCGGCGCGTGACGAGGCGGCGACCTGTGGAGTGCTCGAGGTCGCCGCGGCGGCCTCCTGCTCTGCTGCGGGCCCCTGCGCAGAGCTCGCCGCAGCGCACAGCCTGAAAACCACCGCCATGCCCGTCGCGGCCGCCTCCGGCTCGATGCCGGCTGCCGACACTGCCGCGAGGCTCTGGCACATAGCACCGCACAGCTCGGCGACTCGCAGGGAGACTGCGCCGCCACTGCCCTCGAGAGAGTCGGCCGCGGCAGACAGCACAGGGAGCATCACCTGCGTCAACGTGCGAGCAGCGGCCTCGCCGGCTGCTGCACTCGACTTCTTCCGGCTTTCGCCCTGCGGTGCGAGCCGCTGCACCGCCGACGACGCCACGAAGAGGATCTCGGGCACCTCTGCACTCTGCGGAGCTTTGGCGACCTCCTCCGCGCACTTCTGCAGCGCACCCCCGAGGCCCGCAAGCAGGCCCGCGGCCGGCACTGCCTCCAGGAGGGACCTCTCGCCGTGCCCCGTGTGCGCCAGCATCGCGAGGCCCACGCCCCAAAAGGCGCATGCCCCATGGCGCTCCTGCTTACCCGCGCCACCCTTCTTGGATAGATACTTGGACAGCGCGAGGCACACCGCGGAGGAGTCCTGCAGCACCTCCCCCTTGTGGGCGACCATGTGCTTGAGAAGCGCGCTCATCGTGCCCCCAGCCGCCCCTGCCGCGTCGAGCTCCGGCCCTGCCGTGGCCCACGCCGCCTGGTTCAGCACTGCCTCCGAGGGGCGCAGGACGCCCGCGTCCCGAAGGGCCGCGGCGAGGGGGGTTCGCCACCAGGAGGTGCCCGCCGTCCCTGCCCACTCCGCGCCCGCGAGCGCCTCGAGCGCAGCGAAGGCTGCAGCCCGCACCTCAGGCGACGCAGCGCCCGCTGCCTTGGCCACGAGGGCCACGGCGAGGCCTTGATCCGCTGGCCAATCGGAGGCCTTGGCGGACACGAGCAAGCTCCGCAAGAGCATCAAGGCGTTGGCCGCTCCCGCATCTCCGCCCGTGCCGTCCACAGCAGAAGTCCTGGGCGCTTCTGGCCCCAGCGCCAGCCGCAGGAGCTCGGGGCGCGCGACCGCCGCGTTGGCCCCGTGCAGAATGCTCCCGAGCTCCGCGGCCAGGCTGCGGGGCCTGTCGAGCACCGCGCCCAGCAAGGTCCGCACCACGACGCTGGCGCCGCCCCCCCTCGAGACGCCACCCGTGCGCTTCGGCCTCGGCAGCGCGGCAGCCCCGGCCAGCAGCGCCCGCACGAGGCCGCGGAGCGGCTCCGAGCACTGCTCGCCCTCGGAGGCCAGGCGCTGGTGCGCCGCCAGCTGCCGGCAGGCCGCGGCTCCCCTTGCCAGCGCCCTCTCGGCCTTCTCCGGCGCCAGGCCCTCCAGCGCGCCCGGCAGGGCCGCCGCCAGCGCCGCCGCGGCGGCGCCCTGCGCGGCCGCGCCGCCCGCAGGGGCAGGCCCTGCGGCCTCCGCGAGCGGGGCGGCCACGGGCCCGTCGGGCAGGGGCGGCAGCCTCGCCTCCACCAGGCAGCAGAGGTCCTCCAGCGCGGCGGGCCCGGCCGCCCGGGCGGCGGCCTCCAGGAGGCTGCCCGCCTTCGCCGCCGCGGCATCCCTCAGCGCGCCGAGCAGCGCATGGCCCGACGCTTTGGCGTACCCGAGGGCGGCGGGCAGCAGCGACTGCGCCGCGTCGCCCTGGTCCTTGCACGCCAGGCAGAGGATCACGATCGGCAGCATGATGGCATCAGCTCCCTGACGGATGTCTGGGCTGCAGTCCGTTCGCACCTGAGCGTCTGGCATTGATCTATCATGATGTCCAGACGTTCGATCCGGTGACAGCGTCCGATGTATACCCCGACTTATCATCCTCCTCCTTCTCCTCCTCCTCCTCCTCCTCCTCCTCCTCCTCCTCCTCCTCTCCTCATCCCCCTCCCCCATTCCCCCTTTCTCGTCCTCGTCGTGTCGCGCGATCGGCAGACACCAAGGACCGCGCGTAGACCCTCGCCACGGCGCGGATGAGATGCGGGGTCAGGATCGTGACCTTTGCCTCGGCCGGGAACATGTTCGCGAACATCTCCTGCCAGACGGCCCCACCACACAAAGGGGCAGATGGTCACAAAACCTTCCAAATAGACCCTGGAGGGAGCAACCAACGGACATTATGAAATATACCATAGCCCCCGCAGTTGCGGATAAGAGTGAAGGGGCGGCGGGGTCGTTGGCAATTTGCGAGGCTCTGAAGAAGCCCGCTGCAAGCGCCGATTCCTCAAGTAGTCATTGAGCAACAAGCCCGCCGCATTCGCCGACTTTTTTTCCAGCCGATGTGGGTGGGTCGCGTGTGTCGCAGGTGGGTCGGGAGGTGGGTCGCGGGGTGGGTCGCGGGGTGGGTTGCGGGTGGGTCGCGGGCGAAGACGACGACGGCAAACAAACAAACAAACAAACAAACAAACAAACAAACAAATAAACAAACAAACAAACAAACAAACAAACAAACAAACAAACAAACAAACAAGCAGAATTCGCGCCGCGAAACTCGACTTCAGCCACCCACGTTCCAGGGACAGTGAATGATCGTTCGGCCCCCTCACTCTGGCAAGCTCAATTCGTGCTGATCCTCCGTTGGCATCGCCAAGGTCTATTTGATTCGACCATCCTGTGGTGTTGGGTCCTCGTTTTGAAGAGACAATGCCCCGCGTCTCCTCACTCTCGCCATCCTCTACGGTCCCTCTTTCCATCCTTGCCTCTGCTCTTTGCATGTCCACCATTTCGGCACACCTCTCACGCGCTTCGTGGCCCCATAGGGAGCCCCACCGAAGGCCCCAGGTGCGACGGTCGCATGCGCCCGCACCACTCACTGCAGCGATTCGTGGCCCCACAGGGAGCTCCACCGAAGGCCACAGAGGCGACGTTCGCATGCGCCCATGCCTCCCCGTACAGCGCTTCGTGGCCCCATAGGGAGCTCCACCGAAGACCCCGAAGGAGACATTCGCATGCATCCGCGCAAACGAATACAGCGTTGCGTGGCACCATGGGGAGCTCCACCGAAGATCCCAGTGGCGACACTCACATGCGCCAGAGGGAGCTCCACCGAAGGCCACAAAGGCGACGTTCGTATGCGCCCATGCCACCCCGTACAGCACTTCGTGGCCCCACACGGAGCTCCACCGAAGACCCCAGAAGCAACTTTCGCATGCGTCCGCGCCACCGAATACAGCGCTTCGTGGCCCCACACGGAGCTCCACCGAAGGCCCCAGAGGCGACTTTCGCATGCGTCCGAGCCTCCGAATACAGCGCATCGTGGCCCCACAAGGAGCTCCACCGAAGGCTCCACAGGCGACGTTCGCATTCGTCCGTGCCACCCCGTACAGCGCTTCGTGGCCCCAAAGGGAGCACCACCGAATGCCACAATAGCCGCGGCCGCATGCGTCTCCACCGTACAGCACTTCGTGGCCTTCTAGCGAGCTCCACCGAAGGTCCCAATGGCCGCGGCCGCATGGGCCCCCCCTGTACGACGTTTTGCGGCCCTATAAGGAGCTCCACTGAATAGTCCAATGGCCGCGGCCGCATGCGCCTCCCCCACCCAATACAGCGCATCGTGGCACCACAAGGAACTCCACCGAGGGCCCCAGTGACCGCGGCCGCATGTGTTCCCCCACCCAGTGCAGCGTTTCGTTGGTTCCCAGCAGGCCCCAATGGCCGAAGCCGCATGCGTCCCCTCCACCCGGTACAACGCTTCGTGGCCCCATAGAGAGCCCCGCCGAAGACCAGTGACCGCGGCCGCATGCGTCCGCACCACCCAGTATAACGTTTCGCGGCTACACAAGGAGCTCCACAGAAGGCCGCAGTGACCGCGGCTGCATGCGCCCCCCCACCCAGTGCAACGCTTCGTGGCGTAGTAAGGAGCTCCACCGATGGCTCCAGAGGCCGCGGCCGCATGCGTCTCACCCGCTCCGTACAGCGCTTCGTGGCCCTATCAGGGGTCCCATCGAAGGCTCCAGTGGCCGCGGCCGCATGCGTCTATCCCACCCAGTGCAGCGCTTCGTGGCCCCATAGTGAGCTCCACCGAAGGCCCCGATGTCCGCGGCCGCCGCGGCCGCATGCGTCTCCCCGACCCATGGCACACCCCTCAAGCGCTTCGTGACCCCATAGGAGCTCCACCGTAAGTGGTACCCACAAAGGGGCACTCACAAATGCATATGGTTGGGTCCTTCGCCTGGATAATTACTTCTTCCACTCCAAAACCCTTCAAGGGGTGGGATGAACACCATGGATCTCCTGGACGCTGGTGCCCTTGACAGGGCCAACCGCCATGAGCTTGCAGAGGCGCGCCAGGAGTGCCGGCACAGTCTGTAGAGGAGGAGGAGCGGGAGCAGGAGGACGGGAAGCAGAGGGAGGAGCGTAGACTAGTAGTGTAAGAGGTCGTCAGCCACCGCTCTGTCTAAAGGAGCTGCACTGCATACGGAGGGTTAGGTGGAGGCGACGCGGGCGGCGGCGGCCGTGGCGTCGGATGAAGAGGACAAATCATAATGACAGGAAGATGAAGAGGAAGAGGAGGATAATTATGTGTTATCGCGACGTAGGGGAAGGCAAAAGAGAGGGAGAGGAGGAAAGGCGAGGGGAGATGGACGTGTTGGGAAAGAGAGAGCAGGAGGGAATGGCGGAGGGAGGGAAGGAGGGAGGAGGAAGGATCGGATCTTGACTGCGACTGCACTCTGGTAAGGATGGAGAGGACAAGGGAAGTACAGTAGCAAATTCAGGTGAAACAATATGGGAATGTGAAGGTGGGTCACGAAGAAAGGGGAGAAAGATACCGTATCAAATTCAAGTTCTTCAGTGTTGGCATTCAATCACTGCGGCTGTGGCTCCGGTCACTGGGTTCTCCCCGACAGGGATCTGGGACATTCCCAAGGCCTCTGCCGCGTTCCCCCTGCCAGATGCAACAGGACAGAGAATTTATTTGGGCCCATGTCCATAAATGCGGGCCATTAGACCAAGCAAACGAATGTATGCCTACGGCATCAGGCAAGTACGGCCAATCTCACCACCGTGACACCATGACTCCCTTCGTGCCCAGACTTATGCGTCGTTCTGCGTCAATCAAGAAGTCATGATCAAAAAGGAATAGACAAGATGAGCCAATGGACCAATTAGTATAATTGTCCTGTGGCTAAAGCATGCAAGGGGCACTGGATTCCACAATTCTTGCCCATGAAAGAACATTGTTTCATCACCTGGGATGGGTCTACAGGTCCGATTGTCCTGTGGCTCGAACACGTCAAGGTCAACTGGAACCAAGCTCATTTGTTACCGAATGTACTCTGACAAGAGGCATTCCAAGCCCAGGGACTCTGGGGAAAGAGTTAGGGCAATGTATTTGATCGAGCTGTCGTCACTGCCAATGCCAACCAGAGGCAAGGATATGAGGTGTGCCCTACGCGCCCTGTCTGTGACAGAGGGCATTCCCTACCGTCGCTGTTTCCCAGCCCCCGTGGCCATGCTGTCCACATTTCTTCGCAGGTGTTTTCATGCACTGTGTATAAGCAGCTGCCTCATCCCATCACTTGGTCAGCCGCACACAGTCTATACGTCTCGCCACCTGCTGAGGAATTGATTATACCTTCCATAGGACAACGATGGTCACATGGACAGTCTCGGTCGCTTCAGAGCGGGCCGATAGAAGCGTACCACGACGAGAGCTGCATGCGAACAAAAGTGCAATACTGTGGTGCGACTTTCCCGGGCACGGAGCGCTGCCTGCCAGCGTGAAGAAGCGGGTGACACTGCCCCGTTGAACCCACGCATCTCTGCAGCACCATCCCATAGCAAGCGTAAAGGAAGAGACCCGCCACCGAGCCCCGAGCTTCGGATTCTCTGCATAGGGGTCCTCTCAATTCTCTGTAAGGGTCCGAGCGCCTGGAATCACGGACGCACTTGGGCGCTCCTGGGAACTTACTGCCAGGGCGGCTCGTGTGATATGTTCACCGGCCTCGGGAGCGTGGCTGGGATTCCATACTTCAGAAATAGCCTGAGATGGTCTCATGGCCGTCTTGAGGGTATGACATTTGCCCGTTCGCGCAGAGATTCTGGGGATGTCTCAGGCGGTTTGTCTGTTTGGTGGCTTGGACTTCGGTACTTTGAGAGCTGATTGTGAGAATGTCTCGAGCGAGGCGCTGGCTTCAGCACCCAAGGGGGAGCCCCCAGGGTACATGACATCTGCCCGTTCGCGCCCAGATTGTGGGGATGTCTCAGGCTGTTTGGTCGCTTGGACTTCGGTACTTTCAGAGCTGATTGTGAGAATGTCTCGAGGAAGGCGCTGGCTTCAGCACCGAAGGGGGAGCCGCCAGGGTGTGAGGACACTCGCCTGTTCGCGCCCAGATTGTGGGGGTGTCTGTCGGATTGCCTAGTTGGTGGCCTGCACTTCGGTGCTTTCAGAACTGATCGTGAGAATGCCTCGAACGAGGCGGTGGCTTCAGCACCCCAAGGGGGGAGCCGCCAGGGAGTAGGACATTTGCCCGTTCGCGCCCCGATTGTGGGGATGCCTCAGTTGGTTTGCCTACTTTGTGGCTTGGACGTCGGCGCTTTCAGAGCAGAGTGCGAGGATGTCTCGAGGGAGGCGCTGGCTTCAGCACCCCAGGCGGCCAGCTCGCGGGGGTGTATCGTGCGAGGCGCTCTGTTTTGCACCTCCGACTCCTGCCTGTTGAGAGCCCCAATGATCGCTTCGATGCTGGGAGAAGGACGGCCGCCAGGAGGGAGGACGGAGGAGGAAGGAGGACGCAGGAAGAGGGAGAAGCTGAAGGAGAAATAGAACGAAGGAGAGGGGAGGGGGCCTGTTCACCGCCTGTCTGTCTGTGAGTTGCCGTCGTCGCTGTCCCTCGTTGTAGTAGCGATCGCCGTCGTCGTCGTCGTCGTCGCCGTCGCAAGGGTCGTCCACTCGGACTCGCTCTCGCACCTAGACGCTCACGGCCAGAAACTCACAGCGTGACGTGCCAAGAAATCAGATGCACATACGGGGAACCTTCGCGTCGAATAATAGCAGATTCGATTTCCAATTCTAAGAACGCACAAGACGGTCCAATACGAACCGAATACACATATATATATATATATATATATATATATTCCCAAGGCGGCCCCCGAGGTTCTCAAGAGGTCCAGAGGGGCCCCAGAGAAGGAACATCTGGGAACTAGTGCACGAGTGCTCCCACCTACCCCGACACCAAGCCACTGGTATAGACTGGTTCAAAATGTTTGCGGGTGCACTATTCCAAGCCCTCGGGGTAACAAACGCAAGTGCGTACAGTTGACTCTGGGGAGCTGTGCCAAAGTTTCTGGGTGTCCCCTAGGAAGACGAAATCACACAAGACGAATGGGGAGAGAGCACCAGCTCAGCATTATCTCCATTGCTTTCGTTGCAGTCGAGTCTTGGACTCGTACGATGGACAAGAAGTCCCGACCCATGCATTGACGCGTGCATCGGGTTGTCCAGCCGCTGGTAAAACATTCTGGGCCAGTGGCCAAGAGCCTTGGGGCAACGGAGAACCCTCATATACTCGATGTTGAGCAACCATCCCGTCCGTTTCTGCCAGATCACCTCCGATTGGACGGGCAAGACGTGTGGGTTTGCGACCGCACTCATCCAGTCCACCTTGCGTACCCGCCGCACCCGACTTGACCATCACATGCTTTTCAAATGCGGCTTGGCCCCATTGCCCACAGCAGCCTGCATGTAAGCCGAGACATGATCCTCGCCGCGCAATGCGTGGACAGCAGCAACAACAGCAAGATGTGTGAGTGTCCCTCTTGCTTCGACTCATCAGGACCATATGTTCGGAGCTACCTCGCACGCTACCGAAGCAGTAGTGTAACTTGGGCCCGAGCCCAGCACCATGCCATCCACATCAAAATGGTGATCCAGACGCCGTTACCCGCTGTCGGTTGCTCCGATATTATAGCCTTACGACCAGCAGAAGAGGCCCAATGCTAACTTGTCAGTGCGTCCACAATTCATGCTTGCGCTTGAGAGGGAAACCGTTTTGGAAGGCGGCGGTATACCCTCCCCAGACGCCAAGCGAGGGAAATGGGGGACTGAGACAACTGAGCTTCGGTGGGGGAAGCGAACGGCCCAGCAGGTCTCTTCCCTCTCCCCCTGCGCCACCCCTGGCGGGGTTGGCATGCAAGGAGGAGGGTAGCAGAAGGCAGCCCGCATCGTATTCGTTTGGACTCCAAGTAGTTGCCTGCGCGGCTTTCGGCCGGCGCTTAAGGACTCACCCTGCGCGCTGCAGTGGGGTCGGAGGCCAATGGCAGGGACCCAGCAGCAGCATGGTGATGATCGCATTTTACGGTCGGGAACTTTTGCTTAGCGTGTCGCGGCGGCAGCCCCGACGACCCGCTGCCCTGCAAGCTGATAGCAGGTCGCTCCGCCTCCCTGGGCGTGATGCTAGGAAAGGCTCGGGGCGTTGATGCTTGGGGACTGGGACCTGATTAGCATGTCGCGCCGAGGCGCGGATGGCCAGAACTGGCGGCGCGACACGATACGCACACGTTCCCTACAGTGTCGAATACTCCCCCCTCCCCTCGCCTCTCCTCGCCTCTCCTCGTTGCCTGCCCCTGCCCGCACGACTGCCGGGTCTGCGCAGTTCAGCTCGCACTCGGGAAGTACTGATACATTACAAGACGGCGGCGCGCACCGCGCAGCTCACGCGACCCCAAGCAACGCGGGCCTCCGCCAGCGTCGGGGCCGCTGCCTCCGCCAAGGGCGAAGACTTCTGGGAGCGCCAGCTGCCGTCGCCGAGGCTGGCCAGCGAGCCGCGGCATGGGGGCGAGCAGGGCCAGAAGCCCTGCTGGCTGCGGGCAGCTGTGCTCCACGGTGCCCTCGCATCCTGCGCTGCAAGCGCTGGGCCGCTTCGTGCACAACTCCTCTTGCGGTGTACGGAGCAACCTTGCTGAACCGCCAGCGCCCGCAACTACCAGACAGCTATGGTATGGTATGGAATGACATGATATTGTATGGGTTGGTATGGCATGGTATGATAACTTTGGGTTGGCCCTAAATTCGGCTGCACGTAAGAGTGACCCTGGGTAAGAGTGACCTGTGGTGCGCAGCATTTTGGGGGGCGCGAGGAGGCCAAACACAAGCGCGCAAGACGCCAATATCGCAACGAGCGCGGCGGTCGGGGGACCCCAGTGAGCGCGCACCAAAGGTCACTCCGGCGAAGGGTCACTCTTACGTCTAGTCGATCAATGGCGAGATCAAGCCTGGGTCAAAACTCGAGCTCCGACTCGCGATCAGTCTCGCCGCCGTCGTCGCTGGCGGAACGCTCGAAGGGGACTGGCGCCCGAGCTCACGGACCGCGGGGAGGCCGCGGGGGCAGGAAAAGAGAGGCGGAGGGGAGGGGAGGGAGGAGGCAGGAGAGGAGGGGCACGAGGAGGCGAGAGGAGGCGAGAGGAGGCAGGAGAGGAGAGGAGGGGCACGAGGAGGCGAGAGGAGGCGAAAAAAGGGGGAGGGCAGGGGCGGGAGGCGGGCCCTCCGGCCCAGCGGGGCAGCCTTCGCCGCCGCCGCCAGGGGCGAGGAGGACCAGAAGCCCTTGAGGCCGAGCGCCGCCTGCACGACCTCCGCGCTCCGGTCCTCGGGCACGGGGCGAGCGGTCGCGGACCCCCCCTCCGGGGCCACTGCTGCATCTCGGAGTCGCTCCCCGGCGGTCCCGCGAGAGCCCGTGGAGGACCCGAGGAGCCAGAGAAAGGCGCGAAGAACCTCGGGACCCGCTTCCCTGCGAGACCCGTGCGACGACGACGACGACGACGACGACCACGACCACGACCACGACCACGACCACGACCAAGACCACCACGACGACGACGACGACGACGACGATGACCACGACCACCACAACCACTACGACCACGATGGCGACGACGACCCGCTTCCTGTAGGACCCGCAAGGCGATGACGACGACGACGGCGACGACGACGACGGCGAAGCCAGACGACGACCACCACGACCACGACGACGACCACGACGACGACCACGACGACGACGACGATGACCACGACCACCACGACCACCACGACGATGACAACGTCAACAACGACCACGACGACGATGACGACGACGACGACGAAGGACGACGAAAACGCCGACAGAACGACGACTACGACGACGACGGCGACAACGACCACCACGACGACAGACGACGACGACGACGACGACGACGACGACGACGACGACTACGACGACGACGGACGACGACGACGATGATGACCACGGCGGCGACGACGACCACAACGACGACGACCACCACCACCACGACCACGACGACCACCACGACGACGACGACGACCACGACCACGACGACGACGACGACCATGACCACGACGATCACGACCACAACCACCACGACCACGACGACGACGATGACGACGACAGACGACGACCACGACCACGACGACGACGACGACGATGACCACGACCACCACGACCACCACGACGATGACAACGTCAACAACGACCACGACGACGATGACGACGACGACGACGAAGGACGACGAAAACGCCGACAGAACGACGACTACGACGACGACGGCGACAACGACCACCACGACGACAGACGACGACGACGACGACGACGACGACGACGACGACGACGGCGACGACGACGACGGCGAAGCCAGACGACGACCACCACGACCACGACGACGACCACGACGACGACCACGACAACGACGACGACGATGACCACGACCACCACGACCACCACGACGATGACAACGTCAACAACGACCACGACGACGATGACGACGACGACGACGAAGGACGACGAAAACGCCGACAGAACGACGACTACGACGACGACGGCGACAACGACCACCACGACGACAGACGACGACGACGACGACGACGACGACGACGACGACGACGGCGACGACGACGACGGCGACGACCACGGCGGCGACGACGACCACAACGACGACGACCACCACCACCACGACGACGACGACCACCACGACGACGACGACGACCACGACCACGACGACGACGACGACCATGACCACGACGATCACGACCACAACCACCACGACCACGACGACGACGATGACGACGACAGACGACGACCACGACCACGACGACGACGACAGGCAATCACGACCACCACGACGACCACGACACCACGACCACGACCACCACGACGACAGACGACGACGACGACGACAGACGACGACGACGAAGACAGATGATGACGACGACGACGACGGCGACGACGATCACGACCACCACGACCACGACGACGACGACGACGACGACCACGACCACGACAACCACGACCACGACGACGACGATGACGACGACGACGACGACTCGCTTCCTACAGGACTCACGCGACGACAGTGACGACGACGACGACAACGACGACAACGAACTACGACGACGACGACGACCACGACCACGACCACCACGACGACGGCGACGAGGACGACGACGACGACGACGACCACGACCACCACGATCACCACCACGGCCACCACGACGACCACGACCACCACGACCACGACGGCGACGACGACGACGACCACGACGACCACCACGACGACCACCACCACGACGATGACGACGACGATGACAGGCGACGACGATGACGACGAAAACTACGATGACGACGACGACGACAACGACGACGACCACGACGACGACAACGACCACGACCACGACCACCACGACCACGACGACGACGACGAGCACGACCACGACCACCACAACCACTACGACCACGATGGCGACGACGACCCGCTTCCTGTAGGACCCGTGAGACGACGACGACGACGACCACAACGACGACCACAACGACGACGACGACGGCGAAGCCAGACGACGACGACGACGACGACGACGACGACGACGACGACGACGACGACGACGACGACGACGACGACGATGACCACCACGACGACGACGACGACGACGGCGACGACGACGACGACGATGACCACGACGACGACGACGCCGACCGAGACGACGACGACGACGACGACCACGACGACGACCACGACGACCACCACGACGACGACCACGACGACGACGACGAACGACCGGCTTCACGGCGAGTCCTGCACGGCGTCAAGCAGCAGGCTGGCCAGCAGCCTGTCGCGCGGCGCGTCGCCGCTGGAGCCCTCGAGGCCGGCGGCTGCGGCCTGCACGGCCTGGCACCGCACGCGGGCGGATGTGTGCTCGAAGCCCTGCACCACCGGCACCAGGCCGTCGCCGGGGCTGTCCTGGAGGAATTCTGGACGCGCGAGGACACAGTAGCACTGTGTCCTCCTCGGAGGCGTGCGTCCGACCCGAACATGTCATACAACCACCTTGTGCTACATCGTTTCCCGGGCGGTACGGCCAGAAAGCGCCTGCCAAGGAGCTTATACTGTAAGATTTCTCGGCGCGCGCGTCGCCCCTTGGGGGGGCGACGCACACTAGTACGTTTGGGTGACGCCGAAATGAGACGCAGCACAAGTCGTTCAGGGCTTAAAAACTTCTGCCGTCCCTCGACTCGCGCTGCAGCGGCCACGGTTGCTCCTGAGTTCTGTGGAGATCCCTGCACGTATTTGGATCTGCCAAGGTTGACCCGAATGCACTTGCATTTACATTGGCTATCCGGCTTGACCCCCACAAGTCGATCGGCGAAACATCGTCAAGCTCTTAGGGAACAAGCATCAACTTCCGGAGGCCTGCGCGGCGGGTCCAGCGCCGATCCGCAAAATCCGTGCGGACGTCAAAAAGTGAGCCTGAGCTGTTTTTCCCAACCGTCCCGTGGTGTTGGGTCCTCATTGTGAACACACATCGCCCCGCGTTCCCTCTCTCACCCCTTCCTCACCCCCTTCTCGCCCCTCTCCTCCCCTCCCTCCTCCTTCTCCTCTCCCCCTCCTGTCCTCTGCCCTCCGCATGTCAATTTCAGCATGTGACTCACACACTTCGTGTCCCCACAGGGAGCTCCACCGAAGGCCCCAGTGGCGCAGTCCGCATGCGTCTCCCCCACCCATTACGGCACACCCCTCTCACGGCTCGTGGCCCCACAGGGAGCTCCACCGAAGGCCCCAGTGGCGCAATCCCTATGCGTTTCCCCCATCCATTGCGGCACAGCCTTCGTGGCCCCGTAGGGAGCTCCAACACGAAGGCCCCAGTGGCACAATCCGCATGCGTCTTCCCCACCCATTACGGCACACACCCTAGGACTGTTCGTGGCCCCATGGGAGGGAGTTCCACCGAAGGCCCAAGAGGCGCAGTCCTCATGCGTCTCCTCCTTCCGTTACGGCAGACCACTCGCACTGTTCGTGGCCCCAGAAGGAGATCCACCGAAGGCCCAAGAGGCGGCGGCCGCACGCGTCTCCCCCACCCAGTGCAGCGTTTCGTGGCCTCCTGGGGGGCTCCACCGAAGGCCCCAGTGGCCGCAGTCCGCACGCGTCTCCCCCACCCAGTACAGCGCTTCGTGGTCTCATAGGGAGCTCCACCGAAGGCCCCAGTGGCCGCGGCCGCATGCGTCTCCCCCACCCAGTACAACGCATCGTTGCCCCCATAGCCCATATGGAGCTCCACCGAAGGCCCCAGTGACCGCGGCCGCACGCGTCGCCCGCACCCAGTGCAGCGCTTCGTGGCCTCATCTGGGGGTTTCACCGAAGGCCCCAGTGGCCGCGGCCGCATGTGACCCCCCCGCCCAGTACAGCGTTTAGTGTCCCCATATGGGGCTCCACCGAAGACCCCAGAGGCCGCGGCCGCATGCGTCTTCCCCATCCATCACTGCACACCCATCACGCGCTTCGTGGCCCCATAGCGAGCTCCACCGACAGCGGTACCCACAGCGCAGGACTCACAACTGCATATGTTTGGGTCCTTCGCCAGGCTAAATCTTCTCCGATGCAAGGGGAGCACAAGGGCACCCCTGCCCCCGCCTGCCCCCCATCCCCAGAGTTGGGCGGGGTGCCTGGCGGGGTGCCTCCTCGCAGGCGGTAGCTGAAGCCCTTTGGCCAAGCCCCAGAGGGGGGAATGAAGGGGGGGGGGGCAGGTGGGGGTGCTGGTGCTTCCTGGTGGCTCCAGGGCCTCCCTTCCTTGTGCCTCCTGGGGCCTCATGAGGCTTCCTGTGGCTTCCTGAGCCCTCCTTGGGACTCTCTGTGGCCCTCTCAGACGTTCCGAAGGCTCCCGCTCGAGACCTCCTCGTAGCCCACTCACACGGGTGCTGGTGCGCTTTCCTCCCCCCAGCGTGTCCACCGCTGGCACGACGGGCGAGAGGAGCCGCACAAGCGGCTCCGGGTCCGCCCCCCGCTCCAGGGCGGCGCCGACGCCGCGGCGGAAGGCTGCGCTAAGCGCCACGGGCTGGCGCTCCTCCCGAGGGGGGGGGGGCACAAGCTGGACACCGACGCCGCGCCGCGCCCCCCAGGAGGGGCCCCTCCTGGGGCGCGCCCCGGCCAGGGCTCCGACGGGACCTGGCCGTGGTGACGCCATTGTTTTATGAGGATCCCGGCGCTTCGAGCTTCGGGCGCGACCGCGGAATGCTGAGAGGGAAGCGGTGCTCGAGGCCCAAGAGTGAAAGCGAGAGGCGGTCCACCGCCAGAACGTGTCCACGTCCACCGCTCTGGAGTTTCGCCCTGGAACCTCGAGGAGCGGTGGATATGGACATCTGCCAGCCCGCATGGGCGGACTGATATCCAGGTCTTCCGCTCCCCGAGTCCAGGGACACATGATTATCCTGATATCCACATCTGCCGACTCCACGGCTGCGGACATGGACATATTCTGGCGGCGCATGACCCGGAACGCCGATGTCGTGATTTCTCACGGCGTGGGCCACCGGAGATCTGGACCCCTTCTTCGGGACCGGATGTTCATCCTGAATCGCTTCTGCGAAGGAGGAGGAGGAGGAGGAGGAGGAGGAGGAGGAGGAGGGTGAGGAGGAGGTGGAGGAGGAGGAGGAGGAGGAGGAGGAGGAGGAGGAGGAGGGGAGGAGGAGGAGGGGAGGAGGGGAGGGGAGGAGGAGGGGAGGAGGAGGAGGAGAGGGAGGAGGAGGAGGTAGAGGAGAAGGAGGAGGAGGAGGAGGAGAAAGAGGAGGAGGAGGAGGAGGAGGAGGAGGAGGCACAATCATAGGCGGGGCTCCCCGAGCGAGGCGACGGGGCGCTGCAGCAGGGCCTCCGCCCTGGCGCACGCCGCGGCGTCGCCGGCGCCCCGGGCGCGGGCCTTGGCGAAGGCTTGCAGGGCCGCGGCGCAGAGCGCGGGGGCGTACCTGCCGGGAGGCCTCCCGCCGGAGCTCCGACGCGCTGGCAAGACCGAGAGGGGAGCTCTTCTCGCGAGATACACTGGAGGCCAGTCCACAAGAAACCTTCCACACAAGAAACCCAACCCCGAGACCCCACAACGTCTATCGATGTTTGGTGCGGGAGCGTCTCGTTGTCCACAGCGCAACCATCGAGACCCAAGAAACCCAGGGCACCCTGGAGGCAAGCAGGTGTCTCTTGGCATGGGCCTCCACTGCAACAAAATGGGGACGTGCAGAGGGAGGTTCGCAAATCATGGCCCGAGGCACGTGCGCGGCCCAGGTGTGGGGGGGGGGCAGAAGACGCACTGAGGGGCCATGCGATCTGGGGAGATATCGTGGCCCCAGCCATAGTATCCTGGACCCCCCCAGTCATCACCCCCCTCTTGGCCGCCCCCGATCTTCGTCGTTTGCGGCGCAATTGAGGCCTTCGCCCGGGCCCGGAGCCGTGAAGAAATGATCCTGGGGCGCCTCACACGCGTAAAGCCGCACCTAGACGGCGCACTGGCACGGAAACTCTGCGAACGAACTAGCACATGCAAGAATGGCCCATTGGAAAACTGACGTTTTTGGTCGCGGCGCGGCAGAGGCAATCCGCTCGCGCGCTCTAGTATCGGGCCAGGCGACAGGGGGGGATAGCAGAGGGGGGGTCTGAGAATCAGCTCACGTACGTAGCTGAGTTTCCCGGCGCCTCCTGGCGCCGGGAGGCGCCCATGTATCGAGGAATGGGCCCCTCGGTGGGGCCGAAACCAACTGCATGCAGCAGATTTCCTAACCCCCCCTTTCCCGATGCCCCCCTTTCGTCCGGCCCTTTCGTCCAATCCCCCCCTTTCCCAATCCGCTCGCGCGCTCTAGTAGCTGGGGCGAAGCATACAAATTGTCCAGCAGCAAGAGAGAGACAGGGCAGAGTGCGGCCGGGGAGCAAGGGCGAAGGGGAGAGGGCACTCAGCAAGCGAACACGCCATGCGAGGGGGAAAGGTACAGCCAGACCTCCTCCTCCTCCTCCTCCTCCTCCTCCTCCTCCTCCTCCTCCTCCTCCTCCTCCTCCTCCTCAAGAACACGAGACCCTTCGCCAGCCCAAACACGCAGAACATGCAAGGGTTCCCCCCCCGGATGCAGGAGAACATCCAGCAGACACGAAGAACCTTAGGGTACGCTCCCCGTGCCGACCTCGACCTTATACCTCGATCCGACTGCATGCACGAGTCCCCGGGAAGTGGCCGACCGAGCCCCAAAAAGTCAAAGCCTGAGGCCTGGGGCCACCCTCCCCATCCGCCCCCCGGGCCCCCCGCCACCTCCGCCGCCGCCCGCGGGAGAACGCGGACGGGCGACGGGGGGACGGAGGAGGGCCGGGTCGGCCACCCAGGGGGGTCGGGGATCTGCTGACCCGGGTCAATGCAAACCCGTGTCAGTCAGGCTTTGCAGGATCCTTCAAGATCCTGCAAGATCCTGCAGGATCCTGCGCCCTAGCTCGGGTCAGTGCGCCCCTGTCTCTGCAGGATTCTGCAAGATCCGGCGCTCTGACTGATCTCCGTTTGCGCTGACCCCCGTCTCTTGAGCCCCGAGGGAGGCGGAGCAGCTGAAAACGCTCTGGCCCACATGGCCCGCCGAGTGGGCGCTCCAGGCCAACAGCGCTGGGACACAAGCCCAAGAGGCCCAGACCTCGGATGTCTTGATGTTTTCCCATGCGGCCCCCCCAGGGCTGGGGGGCCACTTCCCAAAAGGACCAATTTCTCGTCCCTGACAATTCTTCACGGTCCCGGAGCCCGGCGAGGGCCCACAGATGCCGAAGACCACGCAAAACCGCCGTCTTGATTGCCTCAGTGCGTTGGAAGATTTCGGGAACAGTAGGAGGCGGAGGAAGGCGTGCGCGCGAGGAGGGGGGAGGGGGCGGCAAGAAGTGGGGGGTCGGCCCGACTGGCGCGCCCCGCGGGGCTCTCCCGCAGCACCGGTCCACCAGCGCGGGGTTGGCCAGCAGGCCGCCGCAGAAGGCCTCCAGCTGCGCGCCCTGCGGGTCCTGTGGCGGCCCGCCGGGGCCCGCTGCTCCCGCACGGAGAAACTCCCGGCTCGGAGGCCAGAGCTGTTTCTGAGCACAGGCACGGCGCGTCGGGCAGCAGACCAGGCTGCAACATGTTTTTTTGTTCGGAAGCGAGCTCTGGCCCAGGGCTCCAGGGTGGTCTCCGTGGTGGTGCGAGCACTTCCGAGGGTGCCAGCAGGCTCACAGGTTCAGCGCCCGCGCTCCAAGATGCCGCCCCAAACACTCAAGCCTCGGCCTGGAGAATGTCATGGGCCCAGCAACTTCAAGACTCAAACCCAAAAGGGCACCTGGAACGCACCAAGTCACGGTTACCTTTGGACCGAAGACGCAGAACATATCTGGGTAGTCGAAGCCAATCTGGCGCCAATCTGGCAGGCCCAAACGGGGGCAATCTGGCGAGGGAGCCAACGCGAATCCAGTCTGGCGAATAACCCAAATCACCCAGTTTGGCAAGGCCAGATTGGCCCTTGGGGCCCAATCCAATCTGACAGTCTGGCCTTCGACTACCCAGCATGTGACAAGCATGCTCAGGACCGAGGAGTGCAGCGACACCACTGGTGATGGCGACCCTCTGCAGCCTTTGGGTGAGCTTCAGCACGACGTCCTCGGCAGGCAGCGCCGCGGCCCGGAGCAGGCAGGCCTCCACCACGCCGCCGAGCAGGTTCCCGCAGTCCATCCCCGGCGGCAGCACGGAGGCGAAGCCGCTCGGCCCCAGCTGGGCGAGCGCGCCGAGGACCTGCGCGTTCTCATCTTCATCTCACCAGCCCTCTTGGCGTGGGTGGCTTACGGCCATCATCCTTCCAGCCCCATTCTTCTGCATCTGGGAGGGGGGGTATCCCCCCCCTGCTCCAGGCTGGAAGGCTCCCCCCTCCCGCCCAGCGAAGCCTCCTGGGGGCCTCCTGGGGGCCTTCTGGGGGCCGCTGGGGGGCGTCCGAGGGCCTCTCGGGGCCATCTTGGCACCGCCGACGGACTGTGCTGCTGGACTCTCGAAACTGGGTGGGCTTTGGAGCCCTCTTGGGGCCTCTGGGGGCCATCTTGGGCCCAGCGTGGGCCCTCCTGGAGCCTCGCTTGAGCCACCGTGTGGCCTCAAGCGCTCATCGGGAGCGGACTGGCGAGAAGGCAAACAGGAGTGATCTTCCTCTGGCTTATCTGTTAGGCCATCGGGGGTCCTCTTGGGGCATCCTGCGGCCTTGGAGACCACTTGGTCACTCTTGGGACCCTATTGGGTCGTCTTGGGGCCGTCGTAAGGCTAGTTCGGGCCGTCTGGGGACGATCTTGGGGGCCTCCGGGGCCGTCCTGGGCGCTGTGGCGGGATGCGCCGAAGGCCACTAGATCCCCCACCCCCTGTGGTCTTGCCACAGGGGTGCCTGGCGTGCTAAATCTTTGGAAATTGTTGTCCTTCTAAAAAGGTTCCCAGCCGGGCCTCGGCTTGATGCGTCGGCCTCGCGGAAAAAAGGCCGCCTATTGGCTTTCCGCCCGTCGTTCTCGGTCGTCGGACGGCCCCAAGATGCCCTCCAAGACGGCTGCGATAGCCCAAGATGACCTCAAGATCACCCAAGACGACCCAAGAGGCCTCCAAGACGGCCGAAAGAGGGAGCCCGCGAGTACGGGGAGGGGGAAGATGGCCAATCTAAGACTCTGCCCGTCCTTACCCAAGAACGCGGCAAGGTCCGCCACCGTCCCGCGAGACACTCAACCAAGCGCACGCAAGCCCGTCAAAATCCTCCATCATCTTCTCAAGGGCCAAATCCTGAACTCACTGGTGCATCCTGGGCACGCTTGCATCCACATTATTTTTCCGATGTCTCGGAAACGCGGTTCGGAATCCAAACTTCCTACACGATGGGCGGTGCTTCCAGGGGCCCTTTTCTGGGGCCATTCTCGGAACCTCTTGGGCCGTTTTGGGGGCGCTCTTGGTTGGCCCAAAGAACCAACATCGACAAGAAACCCAGTACGGCAAAAGCCTAATCGAATTTCTGGTCTCGTCGACGATACTCCAAAAACATCCCAAGAGCGTCCCAAGACTGCCCCTGAGCCCCCCCAAGGGCGTCCCAAGACTGCCCCTGAGCCTCTGACAGGGACCTACAGGGTAGCCAGCGTGGACCCCAAACAGTGGTTTTTGACATGCTAGGTGAAGTAATCTACGCGGTGCAGGCTATGTAGTGCAAGATATGTGGTGTAAGCTATGTGGTGCAAGACGGTCCAAACTATCTGGTGAAATCTACGTGGTGCAATCCACTCTGCGGAACTTGAAGTCGTCATCTCCACTGCTCGCGCAAACATCCCACCCACCCACCCGCAACTTGGTTTGCAAAACCTGTTAAGACCGACTACGACGACACCGACGACAACGACTAGGACGACACCGACGACGTCTCCGACGACTTCGACGACGACACGACGCCGACGCCGACGACGACGAAGACGACGACGACGACGCCAACGAAGGCGACGACGAGGAAGGAGGAAGGACGACGACGGCGACAACGACGACAACGACGAAGGAGGAGGGAGGACGGTGACGACGCGAACGACGACGAAGGAGGAAGGACGGCGACGCCGACGACGACAACGACGAGGGAGGAGGGAAGACGACGACGACAACGACGACGACGACGGCGACGACATAGGAGGGACGACGATGAGACGCCGACGACGGACGACGACGACGACGTGGGAGGAGGAGGAAGGACGACCACGGCGACAACAACGATGGAAACGACCACGACGCCAAAGAGGACGACGACGACAAACAGGAGAAAAGACAGAGGACGACGTAGGCGACGACGACGACGACGACGCGGGAGGAGGGAGGACGGCGACGACGACGACGACGACGACGACGCAAGAGCGCGCGCGCACGCTTTTGTTGAAAATCCGTGTTGCGAAACCTTGGGTTCTTGCAGGTTTTTTGGACGCACGATTTTGAAATCCTTCCGAAACCGATGGGTTTTGAAGGTTTTCGGCATACGTCCGCGACGACGCGCGCGTCTGCACTTCGTCCCGTTTTTTACAGAGGATTCTCGCGACGGCACACGCGCAAGGGCGTTCGACAGATTTCGACATGCGCGCGCGCGAAGCCCGTTTGGTAGCATTGTGTGAAAATCTTGAGAAACCTATGGTTTTCTTGAGATTTCGCAAGAGCTCGCGCGGAAGTTTTTTAAGCAAATCAATGTTGCGAAACCATGTGTTTTTGTATGTTTTTCGGAAACTCGATTGCGAAATCCTTCCGGCACAGAAAGTTTTTGAAGGATTTCGGCATGCGCGCGCGACGACGCGCGCGTGTGCACTTCGTCCCATTTGTTGCAAGGGATTCGTGAACAAGTGTTATGTTACAAAGAAAAATGTCCCCGCATAGTGTTATTTGACAGGGAACCGCAGGGGGGGGGATACAGGCTTGGCTGGGATGGTATGAATTCATATTTAGGATGGACATGTGGTCAGAATCATATGTGATTTACAGCACGCGCGGGGGACCCGATAAGTCCGGGGGGGGGGGATCAAATCTATTAGTCTTTTAGAAAGGAGAATTTATGGGGTGCGATTAATTTCTGTCCGCAGTGAGTTGTCAGTTCCACTGCTCGCACAATCATCCCACCCACCTACCCGCAACTTGGTTTGCAAAACGCATGCGGTGGCGATTGCGATGGATGCTTGACGTTGGCTGGTACATCTCTGCGGCCATGCCAACAAAAGCACGCGCGCGCAGCGGCCAGCTACTTTGGCGCGACGGACGCGGCCGCGGTGGCGCTGACCGCTAGGCACATCCCAGCGGGCACTTCAGTGCGAGTCGGCGCGATTTGGGCGGGCGCGGTATCATGGCAACATCGACAATGGTAGACACGATGATGATAGTAGCGATGCTGGTGGCGATGTTGACAACGACGACGGCGCGGCCAGTGCGGGCGCCGATGCTGATCACGCCGACGACGATGACGGAGCCCTCGCGTCGGATATGATGCTTTTGGCAAGAATTCGACATGCGCGCGTGGCCAACGCGCGAGAGTGGCCCGCATGGTACTATTTGACACGGATCGTCCCCCCTAGCACGCGCGCAAAAGCGTGCGAATGATGTCGGCATGCGGCGAGAGTGGCCCGTTTGGAAGAATGCCATGAACGTGTTGAAGGAACAAACAACACAAGAAAACCGTTGGTTTTCTTACGAATTCGCAAGGGCGCGAGCGCACGTTTCTTGAAAACGGGTGTTGCGAAACCATTTACTTCTTTATGTGTGTTGGACACTAGGTTTTGAAATCGCTGCGGCACCGAAGGTTTTTTGACGGATTTCGGCATGTGCGCGCGACGACGCGCGCGTATACATTTCGTCCGGTTTGTTGCAAAGGATTCTCGCGACGGCACGTGCGCAAGGGCGTTCGAACGATTCCGACATGCTCGCGCAAGAAGCCTGTTTGGTAGCATTTACTGAAAATGATGATAAACCTTGGTTTCATTAAGAATTCACAAGAACGCGCGCAAGCTTTTGAACATCCGTGTTGCAAAACACTACGTTTTATTTGTTTTTTGGACACTCGATTGTGAAATCCTTACGACACCGAAGGTTTTTGAAGGATGTCGGCATGCGCGCGCGACGACGCGCGCGTGTGCACTATCGGACCCCTGGGATGGTGTAAATTCATATTTCGGATGGACGATGGAGCAGAAACATGTTTAAATTGCACTACGAAAAAAGGGGACCCATAATCCCGAGGGGTCAGGGTAGAGTCTAAGTTGTTCTCTCTTTAGAAAGGAGAATCTATGGGGTGTGAGCTATGTAAGGAAATCTATATGAAGCAACCCGTGCAGTGCAATCCATGTGGTGCAATACATGCAGGTGGTGTGAGCTCTTTGATGCAAGCTGATACTGCAAACTTTGTGGAGCTAGCGAACTCGTCTAGGTTGTGTGAGCACTGTGGTGTAAACTATGTGGTGCAATCTATGTGGTCCGATCTACCGGGTGTCAGCTATGTGATGCAATCTACGTGGCACAATAGCGAACTATGCTGTGTGAGCTATGTAGAGCAATCTAACTGGTGCAAGCTATGCAGTTGAATATATGTGGTGCGAGCTGTGCATGCCAAAAACCCAATACAATGCAAAACCATGCAAAGCAAAGCACTACAAAGCAATGCACGGCACTGCAAAGCAACGCAATGCGATTGCAACGCAATGATATTGCAATACGGTTGCAATGCTATACGATTGCACTGCGATTGCAATGCAATGCGATTGCAGTGCAATGCAATGCGTTTCCAGTGCAATGCAGTGCGATTGTAATGCAATACGGCGACGAGGCGGCGGCGACGGGCGGCGACGAGGCTGCGACGGTCGGCGACAAGCGGTGACGGGGCGGCGACGGGGCCGACCACAAGCTGGCCGGGGCGGCACATGAGCCCGCTACGAGGCGGCGACAGGCAGTGACGAGCGGCGCCGAGACGACCACACGACGGCCAGGACGGCACACGAGCCCAGTTCCTTTAAACATCGTCCTTGCGAGGGACCCAACCACATGCATGTGTGAGTAACGCAGTTGTGAGAATCGTTCTCGGTGGAGCTCACTACGGGGCCAACAAACGTGTGTATGGTGTGCCGAAATGGGTCGCGCGGACGCGTGCGAACCCTGCCACACTGGGGCCTTCGGTGGAGCTCCCTATAGGTCCACGAAACGTGTGAGGGGTGAACCGGAACGGGTGGCGCGGACGCATGTAAACTCCGCCACTGGGGCCTTCGGTAGAGCCCCTCATGCCCTTACGGGGCCAGAAACGTGTGAGGGGGTGTGCCGAAATGGGTCGCGCCGACGCATGTGGACCCGTCCAGTGGGGCCTTCGGTGGAGCTCCCCACGGGGCCACGAAACGTGTGAGGGGTGAACCGACATGGGTCGCGCGGGCACGCGTAAACCCTGTGGGGGCCATGAAGCGTTTGAGAGGTGGGCCGACATGGGTG